TATTGTATAAATACAGCTTTTTTATTTTGTTTGAAAACAGAAATCAACATTCAACTTGTGGGCTTTTCCCACACTGTTTTTCCAGTGACTAAAACTTTTATTCTGACAGTGAAAAACTTTCAGTGCTGTATTTGCTATTTCATTACTAACAGAAAGAGAAGGGAGATAAAGGCTAAAAGGGCAAATCAGGGGAACTACTGTTTTGAATTTTAATGTAACTAATAATTTTATTGTAACACAGGTGACTCAAGTACCAAAAATTGTGTGGGAAAACATCTAAGAAACACATTAAAATACATCTATACCAAATAGGTATTGTGTAACATATGTTAGAGCAGATCTTTTAAATATCACAAATTAACATAATTGAAGCAAAAAATTGTTTGGTATATTTTTAATTTAACCTCTTAAAAGAAATATGTATTGATATATCAAAAAATATTGCTACGTAATACTGAGAGCTTGATGTGATGCTTTAAATCAATGAGGTTTATGTTTTGCAGCATGAAGATGCTCAGTCATTCAGGAACCTTTCCAAGCTTATTTGGTCGTATAATTTTCAGTTCCTGAAGGACCTTAGGGCCTTCAAGGGGTTTTATGCCATCTGTTTCATATGATACGTTTTTTTGCCTAGATCCTTCTTGATATTTATTTATTGTTTGAAATCACTATTTATGGATGTAATGATTTTATTCTCTAAAACCAGAATTATTGTATAAAATGTGTGAAAAACTAAATAAAAATGAAAATATGTGCAACTTTGTGCCAGGAGCAGAAGGTAAAAATAAAAAAAATAAATGTGGACAGTATATATATAAACATTTATATATATATATATATATATATATATATATATATATAGTTCTATAACCAAAAAACCCCACCAGATTCAGAAGAATTTTATAATTGCAACAGTATCTATTATTTTATACTCCCAAGGGCTATCAAATGTTTTTGTCATCGGTATCACATTCTCTTGTACTTTTGTATGTTTCTAAATATACAGGTAACGATGCTTATTCATTTGCAACCTAACCTACTTCCAAACATTGGGAAAATAAGTGTATTTAGGTAAACAGGTTCAGCTCTTGTTTGATTAACAGAGGAAACAGCAGATGTAGTATCTGTGGAATGATCTTTTTTGTTGCCTTCTTTTTGCTTCCTGTTGAAGGAAAAGGTTTCAAGCATAGAAGGAAAATTTGGGCCTTGGACTACAGAAGCTAAAGGGTGTTAGATTGTGATAGGTAAATCAAGGCCTTTAATTCAAATTCTAGACCCTATGGCTTAACTCAGTTCTGTAATAAGAACTAAAAAAAAAGGTGTAAAGTTCAAATTTAATTGACTTAAATTTGAAGTTAAACTTTCAATAAATGAAGTTGTGTTTTTGTTACCTGTTCTTCAATTAATTTCCTATTTTGTTCAAAGAATGTTATGATATCTTTGTGCATTGAGTTACATGACTCACAGAAATAATGATTTCACCTATATCAAAGTATAGCACACTTCTTTCTGCAGAGCATGGTCACTCTTCTATCAATACAAATTATACTCTTCTTTCTGCATTCCAGAGCTAAATCCTGAGTACTTTATAAACTTCACTAAATATGACTCATGCAAAGCTCTATAATAGAGATGCAAACTTGATAAAAATTTCAAGACCGCTAGCCATAATAACATTATCTTGCTGTACCAATAAAAAATTTAAATGGAGAATAAATACAAAAGTCTTTTATGTATGAATTTTCTTACTTAATGGTGATTGGATAGATCACTAGGTCAATCTGGTAGACAGGTACCAGATAATAATTCAAATTGTCTATATGGTTTATGGAGAACATACTATAATTATTAACTACCACATGTATTTATAAAAATCACTAACTGACTTCACCTACACAATTTAGAAAACAAGACAGAGTCAGACTGTTTAGTGCATTTTAGGATGTTGAAATGAGAAAATCAAATCTGTGAAATTATCTTCCCAGCTGTGTCCTCTGTGCAGTGGTGAGAAGACTGTAGCATGCAGTAGTGTTGCACTGACCTCTAGAATCATCTGAAAGCTTGCTAGCCACTTTCTGCATTAGAAAATGTAACACTGGGATACAGATATTTGGTGCTAGAATCAAATTTTTTGTGCATCCCAAGAACATGGGGTAGAAAGACATGAAAAGCCCACTAGCAGATCCTTAACAGTGAATATTCAAGGGAGGAAAGCCTGAATGAAATCATATAAGGATTTTGAGACCAGTGATTGTACATAAAGAGGTACTTCATCAACAAATGGGAAGAAAAAAAAATTTAAAATTAAATATGTTTCATTATTTAAATATAATTATTTTTGCAGTGCAATAGGGCTTAGATCAGTTTGTATAAAAAGCCGGTGTCAATCATTCTTCATGTGATCAAAATCATAATATTTGCCATGAGGATTAATGGATTTTTTGGAGCTAATTCAGAGTAGCTGTGTATAACTTATAAAGAAATTTTACTGGGTATCCTTATAGCTAGTTACTCTTTTAACCTTAGAATAGATTAATATTCCATTTTCTGAATCACATTTAAAAATTAGAAGCTTCATATCATTCTGTGAGGCTGCTAGGTTGAAATGGTAGATGCTTTATCAAAAAATAATCACTCTATTTTAAATTAAATACAGCACATTCAAAATATATTGTTTTATTGTCATCAGATGGAAGAATAAAAGTGACTATAGGACTTATGAGATCAGTTCTGCTTTCCTTACTCTGAAATTTGCACTTTTCAAAAGACTGTGAAAGACAGAAAGTAGGTTTAGGCTAACCAGCAATGCGTTACATAGTCTGGCATATCAGGACAGTTAGATACATTTTTTCAGTCATTCCCAGGAGGATCACATGCCCACATATCTGGAGTGACAAAAAACCCTTATGCAGTTAGTTTTCTGTGATGGTAGAGATGAATATTTGGTCTGAATCTTTCCTTCCTTGAGCCCCTAGATACTGCTCCAATATGTATATAAATCCCAGCTGAAATACCTATTATTATTCTTGTAAATACATACAGCAATTTTTAAAACCCTTTATAAACAAATATATTTAAGAGCTTTTCCTATTGTTTTTTTCATATAATGTCATTAGTCCTTTAATACATACTGAATTTCATGCAAATAGTTCCAGCAGGCAGGGAGACATCCATGAAAGCCAGTCCTAATATGTCTTCTTAAGTTGGATTTCCAGTACCTTACTTAATTAGAAATGTTATCCTAAGTGAATCTAATTCTATTAATGCCTTTAAAATTTCCTGCTTAGAGAACATTATGTAATTCTGATGTTTAAGCAGTCAATGAGAAAGGTGGAGGAGTTTTGTGTTGGTTCCTTTATCATAATGCTTCAGAACATGGATCTGCAAGTTTCTGCAGGACTTCACTTGTTGTTTTCCAAGGATATCTTTGTTAATGGTAGGAGTTAATAAAGGGGTCTAATATTTTGTGTGTAGAATCCAGGCTAGTACCTGCTAATATTTGTACTAGAAAAACTGAAGACTTGTACATTATACGGAGCTTTTGCAGAATGATTGTTGAAATCAAAATAATATTTTTTATTTCAATTATATACAAATCAGAGAATTCTATAAAATTTTCAATTATATAGAAAGCAGAGAAAATCCAGTTTCTAAGGTGGAAGTTATTGATATTTAAATACATTAATAGATTATACCTATTGAACTAAAAAATCTCTTACACTGTTGAATTACTGTAAGAACTTAGTTTCTAATTTCAAATCAGAAGATGCAAGTAGGTCACATGTTGTTATTTTTTTCCAATAAGATTTCAAAATATTTTTGGCATGAGACCTGTGGAACCAGATCTTTTCCTGCAGCATCAGCAACATATCTGAACTTCAGAAATGGAATTTTATTTAACTGTGGCAACAGAAAATCTTTACTGATATTTAGAAACTGGATTATATAATTCTTATTAATATTGCAAAACCCCCATAGTTCAGTATATTTTTCAGAAGTATATGTATGTGTATCAAAATTGCATCATATAATCAAAAATGCATGACTTTTTCAGAAGTCATGCTGATCTAAAGTTTTTGTATGCTTAGCATCATAAAAATATTTGTCATAACAGGTTTTATAATATATATTCTTCATCCCTCACCTGGTCTATCTCATACAATAATAAGAAATAAGTTTCAAACTTGCATATGAAAAGCTTAGTTGGAACAATAGTAATTAGTACCCTGTATTAATTAATGAACAACACTTCAGATTGGTATCCAGAGTGGTCTGAGGACATGTAGCTAAGATATACATATTAAAACAGACCATGGAGAATACAGAACATGGGGAATACATTCATTTCAGAGCAGCAATT